TCCCGCTCCTCCGCCTGCCCCTGCCTGGCCCTCCCGCCCTGTTCCCCGTTCAGGAGCACACTGGAGCCATGGCCCTCCTCCACCTGGCATGCCCCCTCCAGCTTGGCGTCAGCCCTCCCTGCTGGCTCCCCCAGGTCCCCCAAACTGGCTGGGCCCCCCAGCACAGAGTGGGACACCCCGTGGTGGAGCCCTGCTACTGCTAAGAAACAGCCCCCAGCCCTTGCGACGGGCAGCCTCGGGGGGCAGTGGCAGTGACAACGTGGGCCCACCTGCTGCCGCAGTGCCTGGGCCCCTGAGCCGCAGCACCAGTGTCGCTTCCCACATCCTCAACGGCTCCTCCCACTTCTACTCCTGAAGTGCAAGGTGGATAAGCAGATGCAGGGGCAGGGGCAGGGTTGGGTGGAGCCTGATTCTGGAGGGCTTATAAGCTTGAGGCCCACCCAAGGGTCGGGGACAGGATGTTAGTTCCAGCTCCCCTCAAACCTCATCTCATGAGCTTCTTGGGCTGGCCAGTGGCCCAGGGTCAGCTTGGGCATAGGTTCCTCAAGGCTGACTAGGAGCCCCTGCCTCCCCACCATGGTGCCAGGGTCTCTCTCCACCACCGCCTTGGAAAAGGAGGGAGATGTTTGTGTCAAATATTCATCTAGTCCCCTGGGGGAGGGGAAGGGTGGGTCTAGATATATTCAGAGAACTATACTACTCCCTGCATTGGGGCCATGGATTGGGGACGCCAGGCCCCCGCAGACCTGGGATGTGACAGAGCAAGTCTGGGGGTCGGGTGGGGAGTACGGGAGGAAAGGGCCTTCTTAGGAAGAAGGATAAGGATGGGGTCTTGGGGTCAGGATGCCTGGGTCTCTCCATTCCCCTGTTGCCGTCTGAAGTCCTGTGCCGTCTTGTCTTTTTTTTTTTTTTAATTGAGATCAGTGCTGGGGCAGGGGAACAAGGGAAGGACCTTGGAAGGGGCTGCTCCCAGGTCTGGGGGCAGTCATGGCAGCCCCTCCCAGTTACGGGGCTGGCACAGAGCCCCATGGCAAGCTTTTAATAAACTGTTGGTTATTCTAACAGACCCCAGGACTCATGCTTTCTAAGCTGTGTATTAAGGACTGTTCAGTGGCAGGTGATGATGTTACTTGTATTTAAAAAGAGGATTTATTGGGCTGTATAACTGAAAGTTGCAGTGTTTTTGATGACTTCGGCCATTACTAGATCCAGAGCCTTAGATGGGATCATTAGACTTTTGACCTCGGCTTCCCTTTGCTTTGGCTTCAAAGATTTTTAGAAGATTCACTTCATGCTCAAGTTCCTAGCAGCTCCAGGGTTACATCTTACCAACAACTTCAACAGCAAGAATCCCAGCAAATTCCTGAAGTGACCTCATTGGCGCCATCTGTAGCCAGAGGACTGGTAAGGTGTAGGTCCTGAACCCCCAACCCCTGAGTGCTGAAAGGGTTGGCCCATAGACCAGGGGGCTGTTTTTATAAAGGGGACGGAAGACATAAACACCAGCTGTCTCCAAGTTATTTCATTTTGTGCTTCACAATCTTAAAGCCAGTTTTTCATAGAGTCCTCCAACAAGACAGGAGGATCAGAGAGGCACACTAGTCAGACTGGAGGAAGATTAGGAGCCACTCTTCTAAAAGAGCCTGGTGCAGACTGGACGGCAGGGTCTAAAAGCTGGGACTCCTTTGGAGAACCTGAGGGAAATTAAAGGAAACTAGATGGCGTGGGTGGGATGAGAGTGGGGGACTAGATTTAATGAGGTGATTCAAACATTCCTTTATTGAGTCTTAAAAAATAAACTCCTGTAAGCACTTTAAACTGAGAACATGAAACAAATAGGATCCCAGCAACTGTACCTGGGGGTTTCAAGTCTGAAAAAAGGTGCTTCTCTTTGGGCACAGAGTTTGGGTTGGTGGGGGGTGCTATAGTGTGCTTTCTACAAGTGTGTAAAGTTCCTCCTAGTAGCCGGGGGAGCTTAGTTACTCTCGCCGTCACTGCTGATGATGCCACGCATATGAGACCAGTCTGGACGTGGGG